TCCTCCTCGGCCCTCTCCGCCGGGTTGGGGTGGGGCGGGGGGGGGATTAACACCGGCATCTTGGCCTTGCCAACATCGAAATCAAACAAGTTGCATTTCTTTTCCCTAGCGATTTCTCAGACGTTTAATGCTTGGAGGCCTCCCAGTGCCTTTCCTTTGAGAACTGCTCTGGAAAGACACCCCTTGACCGGCGCACGCGTGCCGGCCGTGCCCGCCGGCCTATCCTTGCCCCGGTGGATGGCTGTCCTCGACGCCATCGGGCAGGCCGCCGTCCTTGCCTCCGAGCGCTAGCGGTATTCCCCTGGCAACTGGCAGACTCTTGGGCGCTGCCCGAAGCCGTTCCAGCACCTTGTTCCACTTGGCCTGTTCACTGTGTGAAAACGCGCGTGTGGGCAAGGCCTTTAATTTAAACCCTTGCGAGCTTGAGGTATCGGAAAGAAACACCGATGTCGTCAGGCGTTTCGCACTGATCACGAAGAACGGCCCGGCGTTACAACCTCGCTCCTTTGAGTCAGTGGCTCCGTTGTAGCTGACGCTCTGTAGACAGTACAGGGAACGAGGTTATAATTTAGCTGACAAGAGGAATTGCATTTCGCTGGAGCAACTCTAGGGTTCCACCCCCCCCCCCGCCACCCCGTTTGCAGGTGGCCTAACACAAATTAAAAATGGAATTTATGTCTGCTGCCTCCTGGGCTGTAAAGAAAGGGAGTATATTCAAATAAAGCTTTAAAATATGGATTTTTCTGCATTTCAGTCTTCCTGCTAAAGGAGCTGCAAGTTTTAAACAGTGTATAGGATAGATCTGTGCAGACAGTTAATCACCTATTTTAAAAATCTGTCTCTTCCTTAGGGGAGAAAAGCCATCTTTGAATTGCTTTTTTAAAAATTAACATTTGCTATGCTGCAGACTATGTTAAGGAGAAGAAAAATCCTTATTTTGACTCTTAAAAAAAGTGAAATGACTGTATCTTTAAGTGGGTGAAATGGACTTCTTGAGATTGACAGCTTTAGGAATACAGTGCTATTCAGAGACTGGATAACATGCTGGAAGATGTGTGGGTCGAAGATGAAGTTTGCATTACCTTAGTAACATGCTTGCTCAGTTCGGCTCCAGAGTCTGTCTCCTCCAATTAAGATGCTTATTATGGGTACATCAGTCTACTTGCAGCTCTCAAAATGACAAGGCTGCTAACCAGTTACCCAGGGTCTCACACCAGGCAATCTCACTGATGATGTTCAGTCTCTAATCTGTACATACCAAACTATATTACTTGCCCTATAATCTTCAGGGATGAACTTTAATGCCTTTAAGTTAAGAGCTCAATACCACAAGCTGCTTGTGGAAGGGTTCTTCTGTTTGGGTGGAGCTCAGTGAGCCTGGCTGGGCTCTGTTAAGGCACTCGGGTACCCAAATTCGGTTGTAAGGCCAAAGCAGAGAGTTTGAGTATTTTCTTTCGTGCCTTTTCTGTCGTCAGCGCTCCTCCTGCCCCTACCTGTTCACTTATCTTTGATAGTGTGGACTGTTCCCCACTGCAGCTCTGTTGTTCACAATACAAAGCCAGCCTCATGCACGGAATTGGTCTGAATTACATGTGACCGCACTGACAACCACCTCGGAGTTGGGAGCAAGATGCTTGCAAACCAAACAGGCCACCGCGCTTCAGTGACACTGATATGCCCTCAACAATGAGGGCAGAGGGAAACCCTAGCTCTGTCTCTTCCTTCCCTGCTGCCCTCAAGCTCTTGTGGTCTGAGCGGTTTGGTTCCCCTGTGGTTTACCAAAAGGGTACAGCTGAAGTTACAGCTCTTAAAAATGCTATTTTGCATAGACATTTACAGAAGCATCAGGAAAAGCAGATGACCTTTCAGACTGCTTGCTGTGTTTATTTCAAGGCAGATAAAAGAGCAGTAAATACCAAGCTAGGAGAATCCATCTCTGAAAAGCCCTATTAAGTAGAAGTTTTCAAAATAAAACCCATTACAAGCCACATGATCCTGTGAATTGCCAGCATTACAGGAGAGAAATAAAAACGCAACTATGTCAGTAACAGCAATAGCTATGGAGCTGCTTCTGGGGAAGTACTTATATGTATATTTGTATTTGAATATTTGTAGGGGTCTCCCAACTAGCTGCCCCACTTCCCCCTCCCCTCTCTGCAGGGGAACAACATTCAAAAAGCCCAAGTCTCCAAAGCACACAGTCAAAAACCAAGTGTGACTCATGAACCAAATGCTCTGGTAGAGAGGGACTAAGCTTTGTAAACTGCCCTCCGTCCCCCACTAATCTGCCTGCTACAGCTGCACTGAGAGATGGGCTGCGGGTTTCAGTGAGGGAAGGGACAGACTGCACTGGAAAAAACCCCATGCCACCACGCAGGGAAAGGCAGTCCCAATCCAACACCCTCCTTTCAGCTGCTGGACTTCCAGGGCAGGGACAGCTTCCAGGGTGGAGAGGACAGCATCCCATGCTGGCTACTGCTGGCTGGGGAATTCCCTCCTTCCTCCACTCACAGAGACAAATGGCATTTTTTATGCCCTCCCCTTGCCAACGTGTCCTTGACATGCAAAGTCTTTCCTCAGACCCTTGGTGATCCACACCACTTTCTGTTCACATGCCCCACACGCGATACTGCTGCCAGCAGAGACTGCATGTTTTCCTCATTCCTAGGGCCAAGCTGGCAGCTTTGTGCCCCCCAGCTTGGCAGCTGCTTGGGCAGCGCTCCCGTTTGACAGGCCTGCACCTTGTGTGCTGCCGCAGGTACCCACTGTGCTGCAGCAGAGTCCTGGCACAGAGCTCTTCCTACCAACATGTGCATAACCTTAGTTGTCTGCTTTGGCATATAAGCCTTATAACTGAGCATAAGGGGGAAGTACAGTCACCACAGGGGAACAGCACACAGCAGGGAAAAATGCCAGCAACATGAAGCTGTTGTCCTACAGGTCTTCCCTGACAAACCCGCGTAGCATCAGTGGCATATTGACGCTACATACAAGAGAACAGGCAACCAACTTGCAGAAAGCCGTAGGTGTTGTAAACTGGTTGAGGCGGAGATGCTGGGAACCTGGCAGCTGCCATCTGCCTTGAGTGTTGGCTCCTGAATAAGAGGAGCTGCTACATTTGCTGGAAGGACTGATGTTTACACTTATATGCAGATACGGTATGCCAAAGACAGCAGCTATCATGTTGGTGCAGGCTCAGCTGGGCACCTTGTTCAGGACTGCAGCTCCTACGAGGGTAGCTAAAAACAGCTGGTGTGAGATATAGATTTGAGTGTATTTACTGGGAGTCTACAGACAGTTCAGCTGGGCTGACCAAGCAGAGAAAAAGCAGTATCTGGAGGGAAGGATGGTCCAGGCTGAAAAGTTAGGCCAAGAACACAAAGAGCACGAACCTTTTCCAGCAAAGCAAAGTTGTTGCACATCCTGGCAACTGTTCCACTCCTTATGCACCTTTAGCTTTGAGTCAGGTGTAGTGGAAAATTAACAAAGGATGGAGCCCCGTTTTCAGGCCTGCAGAACTGTGGTTTGATTAATAACTGAAAGTGCCCTACAAAGCGCTGGTACTGCCAAGTCCTGCAGGAAGCAGTGAACTAGAATGTTTCCACAGAGAATACAACAAATTTAATAACTGATTGTCCGGTGACTCTAAAGGCACATCCAGAATTTGAATGAGGTCAGAGGCTCACACCCAAAGTTAGAAGTCCATTAACAGCTCGCTAACTTTGATATATTATCCACGACAGATATTCCTCTCATGTCCTGTGTCAAGAGAGTTTAACCAAGCAGAGAGATGCCGTTTGTTTCAAGGAAGCCTGTGCCATTAACTTGTGCATTACTTTACAGACTATCTCGCTGTTCTGTCTTTCAGTATATCGGTAGCTTGGATGTACCGAGGCCCAACAGCCGCGTGGAGATTGTGGCAGCCATGAGGAGGATTCGGGTAAGTTCAATAAAGCTGAATCCCATGTGGGATAGACGGTTACATTCGCTGCAGTGATCTGGTTGCATTGTGTTGTTCTGGCTTTTCCCTTCACCCTTCTTATCTGGGAGCTCAAGTCTCAGCAGGCAGGATGGTAACATGCTTTTCTAGAAATTCCTGAGGCATGCAAGGATTGACTAGCCCTCTGTTCTTTGCAAAGAGATCAGTTAGCAAAGCTTGAACATAGAGCCCTAGCTCCTGTCAAGCAGGTATGGGGATTCTCCTTGAACCTTAAGAGTTTTATTTAGCCTGTTTTTTTGTGAAAAAATGAGACACGCACAATCTGCACCACAGAAGCTCTTGAACTCACTCACTGGTTCCAAATATATCATATTATTATATATATTGAAATATCACTGGCCTAGCCGTTACGATGGATGTAAATCCCACTGGATTAGACTTTGTGGATTCTGCTGCTCCTGGAACAATTTGCTTGCTTTTACCCAGTCCTCCATGCAGTCTTACAGTTCCTGTTTCTCATCAGCAAGTCTACGCTCTTCTTCCTTTAGCCCTTTATTCTTCAAACAGTCTGTGAATGGTCACCAGATTTAGCTGTCATTAGCAGTTCAACTAGCTTAAATATGCCTTCTGAATAACCCCTTCAAGTATATCTACCCCCAAAGGCAGTGCTGCTGTGGTGCCTGGCTGAAGTTTTGCAGGAGTCTTAATTCTGAGGTTGTTCATATGTCTCACATCAGCTGAAGCAGGTTTGAGAATCTTCCATTTAAAGCTTTGAAGGGATTATCCTATTCACCCTCCCCCCCACCATGTTTAAGCATCTAATTTTCATTTAGAATAGTGCTTTTTAAACTTTGTCTGTAACCAGCTGGGGAGCTGATGTATTCAACTCCAGCCAAGCACAGAAATGAGATTCCCCTGCTTTTGCCCGCTCATACTATTAGCACAGCTCTTGTTCAGAACACAGCACGGTAGCAATCTGAATTGTCTGATTATTTACGGAACAGGTGAACATCCATAGGAAGCAAAGGTAATAGGTGAGGGCTATTGGGACAATTTAGATGCTGATGCAACTATTGGTATGTTTTGAGCTGAAGTGAATTTTTGGCACCATACTTGACATTGCATAGCAAAAGTGGCTTCTGATCCTTAAGTAAGTAATACCCATGTAAGCAAAAAAAAAACAAACAAACAAACAAAACAGTTTCTAGAAAGCGTGATATTCTGCTTTCACACCTGCTATTGCTATGATGACATAGTATCCAGCTTGGAGTCTTGGCAGCACTGTAACATGTACTATGTGAAGCATACTATGTGAAGCATATAACAAACCACTCTGCATTCACCGGTGCCCATCAATTAATCTTATCACACAATATTTTGAAATAGGCATCCTGTATTCTCTACTGGGTTTTTAATCTTGGAAGCCCTTTCTGAAGAGAGAGGGCTTCCTCTTCCATGTGTGTATTGTACAGCAGGATCTTATTCAGGCACTTCCTGGCTGCTGAGCGGAAGATGCTCCTCTATTGAAGATAGTTAATTGGCACTGATCCTTAATTAGAGCATAAAGAATGAACTGGGAAGTCTTTGAAGAGAATTCTAGTGCACAGAGTACACAACCTAGGAAGGGAGGGAAGATGGGGGTTATTTATGTAGTGTTCATTTGCATGCAGAGGCCTTGTCTATACCAGCGTTCTTTCCCATGGACTCTCGGCAGCACCAGTTGTAACTGGGAGGAAATACTGGAAGAAGCCATTGGCAGAAGCTTGTATTCTGCTACCATCTTATTGTGAGTGGTGGTGCCTATTTGCACTGCAAAAGTGAGAAAGGTTCTGCAAGCCCTGCCAAGCATTGGCAAGGGCATGTTTTGCAAAAGCTTTCATCCTTTGTGCGCTCCAGTGTTCAACTGGGATTCTCTACTGGAGCAGAAGAGATGAGCTGCACAGTACAAGCCCTAGCACGACATCTCCTATGCTACTCCACATGCCCTGCGACATGGGAGGCAGCCTTAGCCAGCACTGGAGCGGTCCCTGACAGGAGCCGGTGGAGTCCAAGGGCAGCCCACTGGCACAGGCAGGTTGTTACTTATTGCCACTGCCACTCCAAAGGGGGACCAGGGAGGAAGGTGAGGAGTCACAGCTCCGGTCTTCAGGCAGTCCAACCCCTTTGTTTTTTCCAGGCTTTGACAGAGCTGGTTACTCTGGTCACTTATTACCAAATTAATACAGGCTCTGAAATTGCCTGCCTAGTCCTATGTCTGATTCTTGTCTCCAGTCTTTCATTAAAGTGGGGAGGGTGGGGGGGGGGGGGGAAGAGAGAGAGAGGGAGAGCAGCCCAGAAAGCAGCAGCTTCCTATCCAGTTGCTAAGTTTGCTCCTTGGCATCTTACTGCCCTAGTGTTTTGTACGGGGCTCTTTTGCCAGTCACATGTGAATTATGCCAGGAAACCTAGGTGGAGTTCAGTGGTCTCCACTCATCAGCTGAGCAGTCTGCTTACAGACTTCAGGACATGCAGTGTGCACAGGTATGGGACATTACTCCCAGAGAGCCTTGAATGACATTAGCCTGCTGAAACCTTGATCTGTTCTTTTGCAGTCGGGATTTAAGATGCACTCTCATAGTAAAGCTTAAATCCATACTTCTTACTGAATGGATGCTTGTGGAATTACTAGCAATACTCCATTAGTCACAGATTTGATTCCCATTTCACAACAGTCTGGAAAACCTTGTCTCATCATGTTTGTGCTTCCACTTGAGGGAATGCAAACGCAATAGGTAGAATAGGGGAGTTGCTGTGCTTGGTTTCCCATTATGCAGAGCTAGACAACTGTAAGTTTGCTAATCCTCCCAGTGGATTATTAGCTGCATATAAGCTGCCATGTTATTATATGATCCTCAGAGTTCAAGCTAATCCCTCTACCTCCTCTTGCCCTGTGAGGGGAGGTGATGAAATTAGTTTGCTGCTTGAATAAGTACTGAAACACTGTGCCCTGACAGGCATATCAAGTTCCAGTTGCTGTTTATGAGAGTGAAATTTGCCGTGCAGCTACAAGCGCCCAGTGTGGGAAGGCGTTCCTCCACCTCAAAAGCAGTGGGAAACCTCTTCTGGAGAAGCAGCATGCAGTAGCTGCAGAGTCTCCTGCTGCTGCCTGAAGCCATCCAGGCCTGGGTGTGTGGCAGTACTCCTTCAAGCTCCTGCATTCAGAGTCAATTTTCTGATGAAGCTGGCTTTTTTTCTGAAGTGGATTCATCTGCAGATATTTGAGCCTTCTCAGAGCTCTAAGGAGCTTATGTACAATACAAGATTTTTCTTTCTGCAGAAGTCAAGTGGCAGCTAATGTAAAGGATGAAAAAGTCCTTCTCAAGGGCCCAAATAGCTCTATGATGCAATAGAGTAAACCTAAATTTAGGCTTTCCCTAAATACATTACTCTTCATTGTCCATTAGAGAACCCTGAGCTAGCCAAGTTCTCCCCATAGCCAGGTGAAGGCCCTCACTGAAGAGGCAATGGAGAGATGCTAAGAGGCCCAGGCAACACTGAGACTACGACGGTAACAGGAAAGCTTTGCTAAAGATGCTTATAGGTACAGGCCTAGGGTAAAGAAGAGTTTTGTAAACCACAAGGCATTTTCTTGAAGATCCTGAGGTTACTTCAAAAATGTTGCCCTGAGAGAGCCCCTAGGGAGCGGATGGCTTTATGAGGAGGGTTAACATGGCAACATCCTATGCATCCTTTCCCCAGCTTCCAGAGAGTTAACATTGACAGAGGAGAAAGAGTCAGCTAATTCCCTTCCTAGTGCAGCACTAACCTTGGTGGAGCACTTCACAGCCAGTCAAACAGCCCTAGTGAAATGCTGCTATTTTGAGGGGTGAGTTGTCCAAGCACGCTTTTGGAGTAGCATCAGAGCCTGTCATACCCACAGATACAGCCTCTTGCCAACAACTCACTAAGTCACTCCATTTAATTACCTTTAAGGCAGAGAGTTAGTTTCCCTGCAATTTACACTGTAGGAATCTACAAAGCCTAGAAATTTCAGGCCTGTTTGGAAGGTCTGACTGGTGACTGAGCAGGTATTAACACTCAAAAAGCAGCCAGATGTTGGATGGTTTATTTGGTTTAATCATTTCGCAAGGGAACAGCCTACTGGTGCTCTGCCCATCCAAGTACCAGGATGAACTGGAGGCAGGCATACAGGCTAACAAGTTCTTTCTGTTACCTTCATATTTCTTAGTTCTAATTTAATTGAGAAAGCTTTTTTCCAAAGGCCAGCGTGCCAGAGAAGCAGAAACCATTTATAAAAACTTGCATTAGGACACTTCAGAAATGCCTGAGTTGGCCTTGGAGTGGGAACCTGGTTCTTAGTCAAGCCTCCTCCTTTTCCTGCTAGTTCTTGCTGCATTTGTGTTCTTAAGCAGTTCTTCGGGCCTCAAGAGTTTCCCAGTTTCTCACTATGGTATTCTAGTGAGGAAGAAGTGCTATCTAACCACACAGTAAAAATCACATCGACTGCCAAGTATCAGCTGGTAGTGCTGAAGTGTGACAAGACATCAGTTTAAATTGGGATGAGTGAAAGTTACAGTCTTACAGTGCTACCTCCTAAGCAGAGGTGGCAGAGACAAGCTCACATAACCTGTCTCTCCTGCACCACAGCAGCGCCCAGTCTGACAGCTGGACTGGCTTCACATGTCAGCTTAAAGTGACAAAGGGCTGGAAACTGCAGTGGTTCAGGAACCAATACGGGTGCCATTTATCTCCTCTTGCTACAGAAGGAGAGGAACCAGGTGGAGAGCTGGGGGAGGGCAGGGTGACTGCCTTCAACCATCTCAGTCTAATTTGTCACTGTGTAGGAGGGCTCCAGAGATAGAGACGTTTAATACACTTGTTCATGGGATTCTTCTAGAACACGCTCCCTTTGGTTTTCTTAGGCAGACACCCTTCTTACTACAGATGAGAATTTGGCCAACCTTGCTGCTGCATAGAGTCCCCTGAAATATTTTGCCTAT